TTCCCAGCTCCCAGAACTGTGGGAAATAAATTTCTGTAGTTTATACCACTACACTATGGAAACTCCTCCAGTCTGTGATATTTTGTTATAGCAGCAAGAACAGACTAAGACACCTTTATAACAGTTATTTCTTGTACTTGCTATTACCACTCCCAGATTATAGCAACTTAAAGGCATATACTTTAGGTAACTTTTTATGCCCTTTGTCATATAAATGCCTTATAAAAGTTTATTGGATGAATGGATTTAATTATGTAACAGGGTTATAGAGAGGAAGAATTTTTTATTTTTTGCTTTTTCTAGCTTTTTTTAAAATTTCAAAATATTACAGAGTTACAAATGTTTTTGGATACATATATTGGTTTTGTTATGCTTGAGTAATGGTTATAAGTGTGCCATTCACCCAGATAATGTTCATTGTACCCGTTAGGTAGTAGGTTTCTGCCCATGCTCTCCTCCCTCCTCCCTCCTGCTTGATTTCCACTGAGTTTTACTTCCCTCTGTGCACATGTGCTCATTGGTTAGTTCCAGTTTAATAGCGAGTACACATGGTGTTTGCTTTTCCATTCTTCAGATACTTAACTTAGGATAATGGTCTCCAGTGCCACCAAAATTGTTGCAAAAGGACTTAATTCATCCTTCATGGCTGAGTAATCTTCCATAGTATACATATACCACATTTTGTTAATCCACTCACGAATTGATGGGCACTTGGGTTGATTTCACATCTTTGCAATTGTGAATTGTGCTGCAATAGACATTTGAGTGCAGGTGTCTTTTTGATAAAATGACTTCTTTTCCTTTGGGCAAATACCCAGTAGTGGGATTGCTGGATCAAATGGTAGGTCTACTTATTTGATAGTTTTTTGAGGGATCTCCATACTGTTTTCCATAGAGGTTGTACTAATTTGCAGTCCCACCAACAGTGTATAAGCATTCCTTTCTCTCTGCATTCATGTCAGCATCTATTGTTTCTGGACTTTTTAATAAAAGCCATTCTGACTGGTAAGGTGATATATTATTATTGTTTTAATTTGCATTTCCCTGATGATTATTGATGTTGAGCATTTTTTTCATATGTTTATTGGCCATTTGTCTATCTTCTTTTGAAAAGCTTCTGTTCATGTCTATTGCCCACTTTTTAATGGGGTTGTTTGTTTTTTCCTTGCTGATTTACTTGAGTTCTTTGTAGACTCTGGTTATTAGCCCTTTATTAGATGTGTAGCTTGTGAATATTTTCTCCAATTCTGTAGGTTGTTGCTCTGTTGATTATTTCCTTAACTGTGCAGATGCTTTTTAATTTAATCACATCCCATTTCTTTCTTTTTATTGTTTCTGTGATTGCCATTGGGGTCTTCTTAATAAATTCTTTGCCTAGGTTGATATCTAGAAGAGTTTTTCCAATATTTTCTTCTAGAATTCTTATGGTTTTATGCCTTACATTTAAGTCTTTTATCCATCTTGAATTAATTTTTGTGAGGGGTGAGAGATAAGGATCCTGTTTCAATCTTCTGCATGTGGCTATCCAATTTTCCCAGCACCATTTATTGAATAGGGCTTCTTTTCCCTGGTCATAAAAATGCCTTACAAAAGTTTATGGGATGAATGGATTTAATTATGTAATAGGGCTATAGAGAGGAAGAATGTTAAAAAAAAACATGGAGGAAGACCTCTCAAAGATTGAGCAGTAGACTGAACACATGTGTTTATCTCTTCTCTATCCTAAAATCCCATGTATTGAAATAAAAGATGCTATAAGAAATAACCAGCAGATTAGGTACCCTGAAAACCCTTCTGATGGAACCAGTTGAAATGTTGGATAAAATACTTTGAAAACATCTTTATAAATGTATGGCTGAGCTGGCATAAAGTGAACAAATTTGTAGAGTCCTCAAATGAAATAAAAGTATAAAACCATGGAAGTCAACCTACTCTTATAGTTGGTTTTATCCTGAAGATTTCTTTCCAACCCTGAAGACCTTGAACTTCTGCTCTGATAGTTGTATGGAGGTTTTGAGGAAAAGGAGATGAAATCTAAGACATATACAAAATGGGGAGTCTAATAGAAAACACCTGCATAAAACAGGATCCCAAATGGCCACGTTTAGTGTAAAAGTACCTAAGAATAAACTCAGTTGTATGTGAGAAAACTTGTCTCTCTCAATTTCATCAGTGAATAGTGAGAAAAAGAAATAAACTCCCTGAAGAATTTATAACCCTGACTCAAACTTCATGCAGGTTAGCCATCTAAATTCATGCTATCTATGTGTTTAAGAAAACCTTAATCAGAGCTTTTAAAATGGTCCTTAGTTGGCAGTGCCCCAAACTGAGTGGTAGAAACAAAGGCTCATTCTCTTTGGATGAGCCCAACTTCAACCTAGGGGTGAGAGAACTATCACAGAAAAGTACCAAAGAAAAATGAGCAGCTCTCAGGCAATCCCACAAAGCATAAAAAATGTGATAGAAATAGACGTATAGATGGCATTGTTACAAACCAAACACAAAATAACTTGCTGTTGTATGTTTAAAGAAATAAAAGGGAATATTAAAAATATGAGTAGGAAACAAGTGACTATAAACAGCCACCAAATAAAATTGAAACAGAAATAAACAGACGTTTTAGAAATGAAAAATATAATATCTAACACTTGTTAGTTTATGTTAATTGTGATATTTCAAATTAGGGGACAAAAGAGTGAATTAGTCAGTAAATAGTATGGAAACAACTGGTTATCATTTAGAAAAAGTAAAATGAGATATCTCCTGGAACATACTTTAAAAAATTCTAGGTCAAAGTTATACACTTAAAAAATCAAACTGTATAAGTATCAGAAAAATATAATGTTATGTTTTTACAATCTTTTGTTAAGAAAATACAAAAATCTTCAAAGCCAAAGTGAAAATATAAACATATTTTATAAAAAAAAGTTAAATATTTTTGTGACAAAATATACTAGAAGAAGATTTAAAAGATAACAGGTAAATATAGATAAATTATGTTTAGAAGACAATACAATTTCCACAAATCAATGAGAAAATAGAAAGTATCCAAAATAAAAATAGAAAGTGATCAAATTATGTGAACAGGCAATTGAAGTGAAAAACAAAACAAAACCCAAAAAAGTATAATACAAACATGAAAAATTGCTAAATCAAATTACTAAAGAGAAAATATAAATTAAAACAAGAATAAAACATTATTTTTATTCTATCAAATTGGCAAAAATAAAAAAGGTTGTTATATTCAGTATTGACAAACATGTGGGAAAACTGGCACGCTGATATTTTCTTAGATGAGATTGTAAACCGATAATGTCTTAGCAGTATTTTCACTTTTAGGCCGTTATACTCATACTTAAGCACAAAGACATCTACATAAATATGTATTTGTTGCAACACTTTCATAGAGAAGAAAATGAATTTAACCCAATGTCCCTCAGCAGGGTCATGGCAAAGAAAATTATGAGTTATACATACTATGGAATTCTATGTAGCTATTTAAAATGTTGGCTAATAAATACAGATGTGGAAAGTTCTCCAAGACAGATTGTTAACTGAAAAAAAGCAAATAATAGAAACATGCAATCCTATTTCCATTTAAAAATTACATATGCACTTATGTCTGTAAATGCATAGACCAGCAAGATCATGCCAAACAGTTAACAGCGATTATCTCTTGAGAAGGGAGGCACGTTGATGCTGGGGAGGTGAAGAGAGTATGTAACGCGGGACTTCCACATTTTACTTAGTGCACTTCTCTATAATCAGAGCATCTATATAATTTATCATCCAAACCAGGAAAATTTAGAGTAAAAATATCTGCTATCAATTGCTCTGGGACAATAGACATAAATTGGAACTATTCTGAACAAATGGGAAATATGGTCATTATCTATAGTGAGACTATATTCATGACTTAATTGTTAAACCAGTGACGTGTTGCCAACCATTGTCTAGAGCTGGAATTAGCAAACCACCTTGAGCTGGACTTTTATAATCATGAGAAAAAAGACTTGTGTGGCCTCTCTTATATTTTATCGTGAGACCACTGGATACCCCTCGCCCTGTGGCTTAGCAAACGCTCTTTCTTTACTTTGGCATATAGAGCTTCGAGGATATGACAAACGGATTTGTACAAAGACCCTAGGACCTTCTGGGAGGGAAGAACCTGAGGCCCCTACCCCATTTCCTCGAGATACAAACTTAGAGGTAACCCACTTCCTGTTGTCTCTTGGCATGATCGAGATCCGCAAGCAAGAAAGGGACCAAGGCATCCAAACAGGGACTCACCCTGATGTAAAGGAGGGTGTTGGGTCTGGTTTGTTGACCTAAGCTTCATACAAGGGCCTAAAGCTTGTTCCGCAGAGACTGGTTCTAGCGTGCGTTGTGGCTGAAGCCATTAGCTTCTCTAGTACTGGCCAACCTGGCACAGTTTCATGCTTTGGGATCCAGAGCTGAGCACATGAGGATGAACTAACAGAGTTGTTAACTCTGGGATCCAGGCTAAGTTCTCCTAGAAGCCAAAAAAAAAGCAAAACAAAAAAAAAGGCCGCCCAAGAAAGGGGCAAAAATCCAAAAGAAAAGCCACATGGCAGTGACTGAACTGATCAGAGGTGCTCATATATGCCCATCCACTGTTCTTTGAAGTATAACTGACCATTCTGGACTGAGTGAGCCCCTGAGATTTGGGGACAGTAAAGAGGGATAGGAAGAAAGACTTTAGGAGGGAGAAATTGGACTGCCTGCTCTTACAGGCAAGTGTGGTCTTGAGCAATGAATTTTATACCTTGAACATGTCAAATGACTCATGCGGGTTATACTTTCAAAAATGACCAGCCACTTGTCACCCCCTGTGAACCTGTGGTGATCATTTTAGTTGTTGTAGGCATTAAGAAAACATTAAGAATCAAAGGAGGTGGACCAAGGCGTAAAGCAATTTTAGGCAAAGAAAACAGGAGCAAGAAGCGGGGAGAGCTGGGGACGCAGCGCGCTCTACTCACGGGGCTGATGCGCGTTCCAGTGCGTGTACTGCGCCTGCTCGGACGGCTGCCCTGCTGTCTTCCAAGTGTACTCTCCTGTATCGTTTTGGTCTTGAAGGGCTATCCAAAAATAACTGTCCTTTGTTTTTACCACACTACTGATCAAACTGGTAATAAAAGCCTGTTCAAACCTTAAAAAGGGAAAAAGGAAGTGGTTATATTAAGTTTCTGGGCAATAAAAAATGTCATTAAAACATAATGAAGTGCACAGAATGGCCCCAGAGTAAGCATTTCTCATTAATTCTTTAGAACATGGAGCAGAAAAATACCCAAAGACCCTGAACATTGCTAATAAATGCCAAATGTCAGTGCAATTTCCAGAAATACGTGAGTGAGGAAAATTTAACCCTTATAGATGGAGCTTAATTCTTTCAAGGAAGAGAGTCCAGCTCCGGTTTTGGAGTGTAGGTGGTAAAGTTGACATAGTCAGCAATATATTTCTTGGAGTAAGATGTGGCCTATTTTGTAATTAAGCCACATACCACACACCATGCTCTAATGTGCATGGAGTGGGGGTTGGCAGGAGAGAGAAGGAAGGATATTACGCTTTTCTGAATGAGCATTTACCAGCGGAGTTCACTTGCACCCACCCACCACACCTGCCTGGTGAGAAAAGAATGGGATAGCAATTCCGTGTCTCCCAAATCAGTATGTTCGCAGGCCCAGGTAGGCCTTGGCTAATTCGAATGTGTTCAACTGCATTTTCACTGATGATAAATTTAAAAGCCTAAGAACCAATCCAAGGCAGTACACCCACTAATATATTTCCTGGAAAACTGAATGAATTAGTGTTCAATGATTGGTGGCAATGCTCCCTTCCCAGTACGGATGCATCAAAAACAATCTAGAAAACTTGCACTTATGCATCCATATGCACACTTACTAAGAAAAACATGAGTATTAAAATTTAACTAGCATTGAACTTATAAGCTAAGTTTGAAACTATCTTGAGAAAGCTATTTTCAGAACATATAAAATTAGAAGAAACACACTTCAAACAGTGCTGACTTCCAGCCAGACCTGCTGAGTAAATGGGAAAGGAAAGGCTTGATGTCATTACCCAGGAAACCTAAGGAGAAAGTGAATTAGAACTTTTCATCCAGTTTTGGATTTTTTTTTATTACCATATATCCTTAACTTGCTGAGGGAAGCAAAAGCAATGGAGTCATTTAAGAGTAGAGGAGTTTCAGAGGAAATAGGGGAGGAAAAGAGAAAAGAACAAAAAGAAGTAAAAGTTTTAAGTGCCTTATGGACTTCATTAGTAACATTTTGTGATCTTAGGCATCCATGGTACTTATCTTTGCAGAGCATATGGATTTTCATCATGCCTTAGTAAATATTTTCTTCAAATACTCTATTAATGATCCAAATAGCACACATTTGAAATTAAGAAAGTTCTTTTTTAACCATATTGCACTGGCAGAACTTTACATAAATGCACTTCAAAAGGAAGGTACGTAAGACTAAATATTGCCTACATGCTGTTGCAATTTTCCTTACACTTCTATTGGTTCATGCTCTCACAATATATGATCTCCTTCTCTCAATCACCTCGGAGGCAGAGTAGCATGGTATCATCCCCACCTGGTCCTGAAATTGCTGTGCTAGAGGCCAGCAAGATGCTGCTATGGCAAGGACTGCTATTTTCTGTGCTGCTTCTCCACCCAGGGACCGTTGCTGGTTCTTCCATTAGCTTCTATTATGGCAGTTATTAGACAATGCAGGGAAATGGTGTTGTTTGTGAACTTGACTTTGGGTAATATTATTCATGACAACATTTTGCTTTTGTCTTCTGTTGGTGGGAGATTTATTTAGTCCACTGTGATATTTTATCTCCATTTATTATTGCTTAAAACAATAGAAACCCGCTTTTTAAATTGGCAAGTATACCTTTTAAGTAGTTGCATATAATACTCTGTAATACTCATATATTAAATCCTAAAACCTTCAAATCAAAACAGGATTCTAGTTTTCGTGGTCCAATTTAGAAGGTGGCACTGTTAGTAAAGAATTTCAGCAAATATGTCTTTCTTCTAAACCGTATGTTCTAAGAAAATTAAGTGTGGATAACAGTGTACAATCTCTTGAGTGTCTCTTTTCAACTGGTAAAGAAACAAGAGTCCATTTTATATTCCTTACCATTCTCTATTTGGCTTCAAATACTAAGAAGGTTATGAAAAGTCTGGCTTACCATAATAGAGAAGATAACCTTTCAAAGTCTTTTCTGGCCCTCTGCTTTAGAATTATTCATAAGAGGGCATTCCAAAGTTTTAAAATATCTGCCCTTTTTGTCTGGTTTCACTGAGGTCATTTAATTCAAATGTTGTTATGACTTAAGGAAGCAAAAATAACCATATGTACATATTTTTATATGAGCCAGGATAGCATGTTAGCTCTAAGGAATTCAGTAAAGTAAAAACTGTTGGCTGTTTTTTAAAAAAACAAATGATAAAGTATTTTGCTTATGTGTACCTACTCAGAAAATCAAACTTTATAGGGGAATAATTCTTAGTATCAGAAAGAAATCAACTTCTTTAAAACAGTTAAGAAATCAAGGGTGTGTTTTCAAGTGTAAACAAGAAAAATACACCTGAGCTGTCATCAGTCTGACAAAAAATTTTGCTCATGGTGCTCAACATTAAATTTTAACTAAAAAACAGAATTTGAAGATAGCAATACATATTCTTAGCATGCATTGACAATTTTTTTCATTTCAGAAGAACCATTTTGTATTTTCAAAAATTGCACTTTAAAAAGAGGTATTTATACTTAATCACCAGTTGAACATTACATTTCTTCATGAGTTTATCCAGTGACATATGTAGGTGAAAAAAAATTTTTCTTGTCTATGAACAATACAGTACTTAGCAGACAACAGTACTATAATGATGGTGTTTTTATTACCTAAAACAAGGGATTGAAAAAAGGAATGGAAGTAGCTTCACTAGAGAGCTATTATATTTCGATGAGAACAAATAGTAGTAGTCTTTATATATAAGGAGGGGGTTGGAGATCCTCGAAGGACTCAGCTTTGAACTGAGTAACTGCAATTGGATTTCTCCCAGTAACATGACTGCTAACATTTTTGATGTCATTTTCAAATAGCTGACTTTGTTGCTGAATTAATATAAAAAGGATCAATTTCTTTCTCTCTTTTAAATAAAGAATCAAAATAGAATATTCGCAGTCTTAGAATGGGAGACACGCATCATGACCATCACTGTCACAAGTTTCTGGTGGCATTCCTCAAGAACTAGAACTAAGTTTTTGGATGTTGTTTCTTGCAAAAGATTAGAAAAGAAATATAGACTTAGAAAACGTACTTAACATAGACACAAGAGATAAACCTGGAAGAGCAAATTCCAAACTGTTGGTGGCAGTTACCTTTGGGGAGGGGCGGCAGACTGGGAGGGGAAAGGGATAGAGGAAGGGGCACTGTCACTTTTTAGTCTGTATTCTTCTGGCTTACTTGAATTTCTGACAATAAGAATGTTTTTATTGTATAAATTTAAAGAGAATACCTAAAATGTGTTTTTAAAAAAGAAAGTTAACTGTCTTCCACACACCACAAAAAACAAAAACAAAACAAAACCCTGTTAGAACTAATAAAGGAATTCAGCAAAGTTGCAGGACACAAAAGCAACACACAAAGATCAGTTGTGTTTCTATACACTAACAATGAACAATCTGAAAAGGAAATTAAGAGAATAATTCCACTTACAATAGCAACAGAAAAAATAAAATACGTGGGAATAAACCAAGGAGGTGAAAGACTATACACTGAAAACTGTAAAACGTTGCTGTATGAAATTGAAGAAGTCACAATGAGGTCTCAGTTTTCCTATAACTGACTTTGTTATACACAAAATGTGTAATTGCTCATATTTTGAATGCTGAGTTTTCATCAACCATAATTCTTTGTCGTCTCTAATATGCTTCTTCACAGATTCATACAATTCTCAATTTAAGTGGTTCCTTCTAATACATTATCTTTGAAATGCCTCTCAGGAAGGACTAAACTTTCCCTGAAATTTTCTCTCTTAATCAAAGTCAAGAGTATGAGTTGCAACAAAGATAGTAACGACTTTTGGTATTAAGAGACAATTACCATATTGGGCGCTACCTGGAAAAGTTTCCCTTACTCTGCAGAAGTTACTCTACTTTATCGAACAACCTACCCCATCTGGGGTAGAGAAGCATGCTTTGTACTCTGTGTGGGCAATATTTGATTGAGATAATTAATATCC